CGTATATAAGTACCTAATATGTTTGTGCGCAATTATTTCGCGATTGGGTAAACCGATTTTGATGCAGTTTTCAGTGTTAAATTTTGATGTTCAGTAAAAGTGTTTGTTACACTTAGGTGAAGCGTTTAGGATAGTAATTAGCCAACTTAAAAATAAACGATGGGGTTATAGTCAGCGTTTTTACACACAGTTTATAAAAATAAAATATTTTTAATTTTTTCATTTCGACTTTCAGAATCTGGGATACCTAACCTTTAATTTTACGAATATTCGTACTTACCAATTTTTACTTTGACCAGATTAGTGTTCCTACATACATACATTATAATATTTACAGTCAATAAAATACCTGTATTACTATCTACAATGTATTAAGGAGACTTATGACATATTTCATATAAACTACGATGTTTTAATGGCCGTAATATCGCAAGAGGTTCGCTTCCCGATGCCATCTTCCTATTGTCAGTCCATCTCAACTCATTAGTTACACAACTGCAGATGTAACACTTGTAAGAACGGAGATATACATGGCTGTATATATAGATGAAGGTACCTATTTACATATAAGTATATGTATACAATATTGAATATCATATTATTATGTCATTCATTACACAACATGGCCTAAGGCGTTAATAGTATCGTGAGGAGAACTGTGTCGTTTTGTTGCGAGAATTCGCATCGATGAACTTCGAAATAATTATACACACCAAAAATATGGCGCCTTTGTCTGTAGAGGTGTTCTAAAACACACACATTTTTTCAGTAATTATGTTCATACAATTTGCAAACACAATGTGTAATAGTAGTCTTCTCTGTTAGAGAACATTTCTAAAATTACAATGATACTTTACCCGATTGGCGTTTTAATTACCCAAAAAGGTTCATAAAAGGCAAAAATCCATAAAAGGCTACAATGAAGCTAATAGAAATGAAATTCATAAGTATTTAGGTGGCCGCGGAGAACCTAACGGGTCGACGTGCAGGAGAAGGAACGGGGTGGTTTTTAGTCAGTAAGAGTCTGACACTCCCTCCCGCCTCACCCAGACGGGAGCAGTCATTCGATGACTATCCCCCTTAAAAAAAGTATTTAGGTTATCTACGTAAAAAAATTACAAAACTTTCATGAGGATATTACCTGAAAGAAGAGCATGAAAATACTGATTAGTTACATCACATTTTACACTATTACACGACTTACGTTTATTAGGTTACACGCTGTTATTTTTTATTAGTATAACTATTCAACATTAGACTCTAGACCTAGCCCAAAACCTACAAAATTTAGTATATAACAAAATTTAGGCGTCCTAACAATTTGTTTACATAAACAAAGTTCATACTGGTAAGAACTTTGCAACAGATTCTTAGTGACAACGGCAGCAGCTGTGTCGCAATTCAGCATTGGTAGGGGCGTGCACTTTCGCAGACGCACTCAGATTGCGCTTGACCATAGCTCCGTGTGCCTACGATAAAAACCTATTTTCAATTTACGAATAAACAAAATACTCGCTTGTCTATTCCCACTTCGATATTTAAATATATAATTATTTACGGCCATCACGTTGTTGGCAATTTATTAGGGTAGTTTTTGTTAATGTTTTAATTAAATAATTTTAACAAATAGGTAGAAATGCGTTCATTAAGAATGTTAATTAGTATAAGTGCGTTAGTGGTGTGCTTGTCGCAAATGACGAAGACCGAGAGGGAAGCGCTTGAAATCGGTAAGTCTTTCACCGACTTAAAAAAGGAGGTTCTCTCAGTTTAACCTGTAGATATAATTGTTTGTGCGCGATTGTCTCGCGATTGGCTGAACCAAAATTGAAGCGGTTTTCAGATAAGTGTTAGTAACACTTAGGAGAAGTTTAGTACAATAATAGTAATTATATTAACCGACTGCCTCGTTGGCTTGGCCGAGTGGTCGCAAGTGCTAGTGCCAGGCAAGGGGTCTTGGGTTCGATTCCCGGGTCGGGCAGAGTATTACTGGGTTTTTAAAAATCTCAGTAGTAGCACGGAGTCTGGAAATGTGTGCGGTATATGGCAATAGGGTCACCCTCTATTACATGGGACTCATAACATAAATAGTGAAAAATGGGTGTTACCTTGTACAGTGTTATAATGTGCACCTCTGCCTACCCCTTCGGGGATAAGAGACGTGATGTTATGTTATGTGATATGGATAGTTTAACATAGACGTGTATGTATGCATAGCTTTTTTGAGGCGGAAAATCATCGAACGACTTCTCCCGCCTGGGTGAGGCGAGAGGGAGTGTCAAACTCTTACTTACTAAAAACCACCCCATTCGAACTTCTGCTATTCAAGTATTCAGAGCACCGGCAACCCGTTATATTAAGTCCTCCGCGGCTCCGTTTTGTATATATAGCTACGTACGTATTATTGAAAACGGTGCCGGTAGCCGGATGAATGCATGAAAATCAATTGTTATGGTGTGGTCAGGAATGCGTGAAAATGTGGGTCATTTGTTAATATTTAGTTTGTCTATGTAACTTAACATATTAGATGCGCGTAAGTAGGCATCTACGGAAAAATTTAATTGTGTACATGTATTTTCATCGTCATTATCAGCCCTATTAAATTTATTCGTAAAATCTCAAGATAGAACGAACTTTGCGGAAAATCAATTTCAGAAAATTTAAAATGAAGATCGTTTGACCTTGACTTTCTTGCTTGACCCGGAATTATTATCTAAGATCACATTTGCTAAACCAAGTCAATGATAGTGTGACCTCAATGTATATTAGCTAGTAATTTAATCATATTAAAATAAATACTAAATTCAGTAGGACATTCTATACGCGTCATTTCAATAGTGTACAATGTAGAGTGACTGTGATACGGGACAAGGTAACAATACGAACGAGTTAAAAGATTTGTAGAAACTGAATACCTTCTTGGTTTCTGCAGGCAATCTCTTATTACAACAAAATTGTTGGAGGAATTGGATTGCATGAGGAAAAACCCCTCCCTCTGTGGTTCGAAACTAGTATAGCTTTTCCCAAAATATTCACGTGAGTATCCCGCGATTTTACTTAATTTAATATGTCTCACGATAGTTATTATAAAAAAAAAATGTTTCAATTATGTGTTCTTGTTTCTTGATTATAAGGTCGAAAATAAAAAAAAACAATATCACACTGTCAAAGCAACAATCACCCTTCTAATCTGTGTCACTTAAGTAAATCTCGAATGCCCTTTAAATGGTCACACTCATTCAAATATCTACATAAATCATCTATTTACATTAACAGCACCGCCTTTTACATATCGACATTTAAAAAAATAGATTTAGTGAAGGTCATGGTATAGAGATGGTCTGGAGTGGAGAACACGTCTAGGCAAACGTAGTGTAGGGCACCCTCCAGCTAGGTGGAGTGACGATATGCGCAAGGTGGCTGGCATACGTTGGATGCGTAGAGCTGAAGACCGAGCTCAGTAGCGTGCCATTGGAGAGTCCTATGTCCAGCAGTGGACGAGAATAGACTGTTGATGATGGTACAAACAATTTGATATAAAAACAAGGCTATAAATCATAATTAATTTAGTTATACTTAATGATACGGTTTCCTCACAACTTTAAAAAGAACTCATAGGAAATAACATCGAAGGTTGTCTAATAACCGTTAACCTCTACACAAAAATTGTTATACCCGTGGTACTTAACATAACAATTCAAGATCAAATACTAAACCCACATAGTTCAACAAGGAGACCAAAATAACAGATAGTAATAGATCATCATACAATTATGATCTTACACAAGCAATATAAAACTCTTTGTTGTATACTATACAAATTAAAAAGGGCACAATGATTAAAACAATGAGATAATAATCTTTTATAGACTACATTTAAAAATACTGACTTCAACCCCTTCCCTTTTTTGCAGTCGGGTAATTAATATACTAAAACCTTTTCCTAAGAAGTATTTGTTACACTCAACAAATACTTTTCTCAAAATTGCAATAAAATCAATTCAACCAATCGCGAGATAAGTGTACACAATCATCATCATCACACAAAAAGTTGTTCCGTGCGGGAATCAAACCCGCGACAGGATACGCCATCATGCCACTACGCCAACCAGAGAACCTAACGGGTAACCGGGGCTCCGATTCGACGTGCAGGAGAAGGAACGGGGTGGTTTTTAGTCAGTAAGAGTCTGACACTCCCTCCCGCCTCACCCAGGCGGGAGCAGTCATTCGATGATTTTCCCCCCTTAAAAAAAACCATGCAGTCTGGGTCAATTTTAGACGTTTCAAACGTAACGTAACGCTAATCAAGGATTGACTGAAATAAATGCTTCGATTTTATTAATACTCCAATTAGAAGACGATATTTTTCTAAATAAAAGTTGAAAGGTTTTATTGTATCTTGAGAATACTTAGCATACTATGTCATAATTTCATAAATATTGTAGTTCACACCCACACATTTATAGATTACTTAATCGCTAAAATCGTGTCTCCATATCTCTTTGCCCAACCTTAATATCTCATAAAATTCCTGATAAATATTGACTTTAACTATTTAACCAACGTGACCTTCACGGTTAAAATTGCGAATATAAACAAACAAAGTATTGATATTCATAGTTCTTGTTAATTTGATTATTATACAAACGACGTGAAGAGTTTTATAGTATTTTCAAAATTCTATTCGTTACCTAATATGCATATTATAACATATTATGTATTTCTTGTTATAAGTGTTACATTTTCAATAATATATCGACTTTTTTACCGAAGAGTGTTTAGGACGATTAATAAATAATTAATGAAACCTGAAACACCGAAATTTGTATCTACTACTTGGTACTAAGATTTTCATAGGTACTTGTAATACCTAGATATTAATATTTGTAACGAACTACTTCCGCGCGGTTTCCCTCGCTCTGCTCGGCGCCTATTAATCGTAGCGTGATATTTTATAGCCTATAGCCTTCCTCGAGAAATGGGCTATCCGACACAGAAAGAATTTTTCAAATCGGACCTGTAGTTTCGGAGATTAGCGCGTTCAAACAAACAAACAAAAAAACAAACTCTTCAAATTTATAATATTAGTATAGATTTAAAGCAAAAGAACTTTGTAATGCGTTTTATTTGAGGTACTGAATGGAAATTTATTAGCCGTAGTTATAGTTTTGGAATTTTGACTTCTACGTCTTATAAGAATAAGTTTTACTCTCCCAGATTAGAAAAAGCTGAGACTTTGAAAAGAAAATCATACATTAAGTCATTTCATATTATAAAACAAAGTCCTCTTTCGTGTCACTGATTTGACTGATTCTGTTAGCGATAAATACACTGAAATCTTATGTGAACTAGCGTAAACGCCGTGCGAATTTGCGTGTTGTTCGCGATACAGAGCTCGACCAAACATTCCTCGCTCAACAATGGCGACCTATACTTTAAAACAGTGCTTCCCAACCGGTGGTCCTCAGAAGATAAAAAATACAGAAGACTCACTCATGACTCAGATCTCTATCACACCTCTTCTATCCAATAAATACCAATCATCGGTTACAGCTTGAATTAAACTTAGGTATAACAGAGGAGACAGATTTCAATAATCCAAAAGTCGCTATTTTATTTATATTATAACCTTCGTGAGAGATACTAAATTAATTGTTATGTTTCTCGGCTTACTCACGTAATTATTTGACGAGGAACTCGACTACTTTCAAGCCATGAAGAAGCTCATATTCATAAGTAATCACTAGTCAAGTACGACTAGTAAGTCGTTGTCAAACTAGTGGAGTCGAGAGTTAGTCTCTATTCTATAAGGAAAAAAGACCAAATGGAAAAAGTAATAGTAATGGGACCCCCTAACCTAATAATAATGATGTAAATGTGGTCCTAGATCAAAAAAATTTAGACATTTCTGCTTTAAAACCACAAGTTGAATTCAACCAATTAGCAAAGCAATAGACCTTCTACTTTTCCTCCTCAACCTTCTTTAGTTGCCTCCTTGACATAGAAGCAAGTGCACCATTAATAGACGGGTTAATAGTAAAGTAACCATAGGTGGTATAGTTGGCATTACCATTAATATAAGTACGGATATACAGTCGGTTACGTGAGCCCGTGTGCCGCATATTATTGGGCAACGTTGGAGAATATCGCCACTAGCTATATATAGCTTTAATGACTTGCATTTGTATTTATATCGGGCTATGAAAAGTGATGTTAAAATGCTCTTTATTATTACAATAATTTGCTCATTGTCATTGCCCTCCAGCAGTCCCAGCAGTTCTCCAAGTACCATTCTGTTATAATAAGTATATCGAATTGTAACTTATAACATTTGAAGTACATTTGAACTTATTACATAGAATTCCCAACTTCCTCAAGAATATTAATAAAATACTCGTAGTTAGTTCTTTTTACTGTATCTTATATATTTTTCGTGAGTCATCGTAATCTTACATTTCACTATCGTATGCACATATGTAAATCAAGTAGATTCATCTTTCATAATATACGTATAGGTATGATTTGTCTAGATCTTGACTAAATTGTCTTGTTGTTGGAATGTTCGTACCTAAGTGCGATTGCTAAAGTATGTACCTTCGCACCTCGAGTTCAATGTATTGTTAAGTTCTTAGTATTTTTTAGTACATCTCTATGCTATTACTGAAGACGCTTTAGGACTCTGCTGAGTTAAAGGCATGATAAGTAATAAGGTGCAGAGAATAGTGAATGTGATAAATGTGTACTTATTGATAAAGTTTTGCTATAAAACTAGAGGCCTAGTTTAAGATTGAGTAACTTGACGGTTTCATCGTCATTAATAGCATTGGCAAGGGTAACCTTCCCAGATATTCAGATTTTGTCGTAATCTCATCGGTCCATCGCTATCAATTAACATTGTGTTCTTGAAAAAGGTTAAAAGGTATTGTGTCAACGTACGAAATATGAAATCATGATACATACATTTTCGTAACGGATGCATTGGGCAAGATGGTGGCTTACATTGCTCGCCTGAGCGTCAACAAATAGTGATGCAAAGCAGCCAAGGTGAGATGAACGTTTGGTTAATGCGGTATTTCATATGGTGCTTTAGCCATAAGTCACTAAATAGTTTACAACAACTCGAGATAATCAATAACTCAACAACGATAGGTCTAAGACCAAGCAGTATTTTTTGTAAAACTGAAGTGCCCCATAATGTGAACCTATGCTCTGTGGCTTATTTTTAGAACCTTATTCTCTACCACCTGAACTGCCTGAAAACTACCTTTCACTGCAAGCAAATGCACTAATTACCTTTCGCTGCAACGAAACAAGTTTTGGGACATTGGTAACAATTTAATGCATATATAGGGTGCTATCCAATGCCAATGTTGTAACAACGCTCCAGTTCCATTGCAAAAAGTCTGTAATATTACGTTATGGCATAATAAGGAAATAATACAAAGCTTTAATGCAACTTATAAGTACGTTAATTGAAATTCATGAACTTATTCAATTGCATAGCATTGTTACTGTAGATTGTGTTGGTTGATGGCGAACTGCAACCTGTCCCAAATATACAGACGTTTAGCAACGGTTTAATGTCGGTTTCTTTGATAAATAGGTACCTCTCTATATTTGTCTAGACTTCACATTATTGTCACAATGTTTAGCTATGTTCCCATATTTCAACTTCTGTCAATGAATTATTGCACATTAGTAACTTTGTGTCTGTCTTTTTTGTTTTATAGAATTTTTAGAAATTAATAAATTATATTCTATTTTTCATAGCGTTATTAATTGCAACTTGCAACCTAGGCATGTGAATGTACCTCTAAGTCAATACATAGTATAAAACAAAGTCGCTTTCGCTGTATGTCCGTATGTATGCTTAGATCTTTAAAACTACGCAACGGATTTTGATGCGGTTTTTTTTAATAGATAGAGTGATTCTTAACGAAGGTTTGTATGTATAATACATGCATATTGCACCCGTGCGAAGCCGGGGCGGGTCGCTAGTAATGAATAAAAGGAAATTGTCAAATTATTTTAACCTCTATTATTACTAAGCATTATTACGCCATAGATTTTGACTTAGTTATGGAAACAACTGATTCACATTAAATAATAGATTTCATCATACATAGTAAACATTTTGTCCTACTTATAAGAAAGGGTTCATACACCTTACACATATTGTTGACCCACATAATCTATTTAAAGTTGATTTGTTTGTCACGGTCTCTCGTTGTCGTTAACAAAATTCGCAAGGTTGCGCAAAACGCCACTGATACTGTCTCTTTAATGAAACCGCATGAAATCTGCCAATCAATAAATGTTTTTATTGTGAAACCAAACACTTTGTGATTTCGATGTCTCTTAGGAACTTGTGGAACTTGGTAGATGGAGATAAACCTACTTATTTTGATTACCGTTCAAACAACCTGCCATATCTAACATTTAAGTAACTGGATTAAATTTAATCTAGGCTACCGACACTTATTCGAAATATTAGTAGGTACCTAAATCTCACATTCAGCAAACTAATCGATCTCTGACCCTTCTTTGAAGCTTTTGCTCATCAATACAGTGCGTCCACTAAAGATATTAAACTGATGCAACTGTTGCTAAGAAATTCAATAAAAAACTAACCAGCAACATTAACTGTTTTCAGAAAGAATATTTGCGGCATGCAAGAAAACATCGCCAGACTTCGATGGGTGTATCAAGAGAGCTTTCAACAAGGTGCGACCCTATTTTAAAATAGGTGAGTACAACACTACGTAGACATCAAAGCAAGCACTTGAGAAAATTCTTACAATACATAATGAATTTCTGAACATACATTTCGCTACTACAGTATTACTTAAAATATTGCGTTAGAGACATCTCAATAGTGACCGCTCTAGTGCCTACGAAGCTTTAGTAACGTTAATAACAGCTACAAAAGTTTAATTGTGCAGACAATTTAGATCGCTATCTTAAAATTACATAGGTAACGTAATTTGATTAGGAAACGCACTTTTCGGTAATATAATTACCATTGTCAATAGCTAAACCTTGGTAAAATAGCCTGTTATTAACGTTAGAATGTAAATTGTATGATTTTGTGTTGTAAACGATCTTTTATTGCAAAAAAATCTACATTTTCACGATCTAATCAAGATTTTTAGTCGATTGATAGATTACCAATTGATAAGTAATTCTGTTATTTGATTGATTAGCTACTTGTTCATCTGTAGCAATCTTAGAGGTAGTGTTCTCTAGTATCTTATCACGCAAGTTTTAACTAATAGTTTAAACTTCATAACTTGAATTGGTAACAAAAGAGCATATCGTTCAGAGTACTTCGCAGCTGACCTTGCAGTTTAAGTTTTTATAGGGCGACCCCCTACTTACTGTCCCACCGGCATTACCACTTAACGAATTTTTATTAGGTTCTTTTCCTAATCCCACTCTTCTTCATTCTATCAGTATAAATACTGAAACCTCAGTACGTCTTCTATGATACTTATCTCTACATAATATTTTAAAACATGTATTATGTCCAGGTATCCCCGAAATGGGCGTGGCTCCGTTCGACCCTCACTTCGCTCGGGAGGTGAAGCAGGTGCGCGCTATCAACGGGGTCGGCTACACACTCACGCTGAACGACGTCTTTGAAAGGGGCTGGTCAAATTCCGTTGTTACTAAATACAAGTAAGAATAATATTAATCTCTCTACAGTTGTAATAATAATAATTTTTAACCGTTTTCGGTTAAGGCCAGCAATTTCAATAAAGAATAGTGCATACTTGTGTGCTCCAGTCCAGCACATACCTAATACAGCAGTTTTTATTAAAGTTTTCGATGACAATATTGACCAGAAGTGGTTCTGAAGTCTGAAGTGAAGAATGATCCTTCATTAGTCCGTTATAGAACACCTTCTATAACGGACTGTTTTGAGAAATAATTCAGTTTCAGTAGGTAGGTACTACGTTGTGGGCACTTAGGTACTTCCGAAATGAATGTTTACTCCTCGTCCCTAAGAAGAGTTTTCTTGGACAGTTTACAGGAACTAAACCTAACCTAACGTTTAAAATGAAATAAGTAAGAATTATTTTGTTTTACAGAACGGACTGGGAGAACCAGCGCATAATCTATTCACAGTACTTCCCAGAAAAGTGGCTCAATGGCGACTACGAGTTCAAGGTGAGATATGATGACTTGTTGTATTTTTCCATAAATTTTGTATCACGCATGTATTGCAGGCGATTGTGGCCGATCACCTCCAATATGTTGTATATGTATGCACTAAGGCCACAAACACGAGATAATTTAAACCTCTCTCAAGTCTCAAGGCGTATTCACTAGAATTTTGTGGTTGGTAGGTAAAAATGTGGCATCGTGGTAAGATTAGCTAGAATTTTCTATCCGAGTCACCTCATTTGAACTTGACTCACTGATTTGAATTTTGCAATAGAAATTTTACATCAATGTATGTCTACTAGACTAGTGCAATAAGTCTCGCTGTTTGAGGAACTGGGTGGCAGTAACCTGGAATAGGTAATTACAAAATATTTCAAATCGGACTCCAAACATAACTGGCGAAAAATGGCATGTTTGCTACCTTATCCCATAAAAAATATATCCTGTGACCCTCTGCTTACCCTAGGATTCCGGAGAATAAAAGGCGTATTAAAAAAATTACAAATTATTTTCCAGGGTGACGCATTCGGCTTGGGCGTGCTCCGATCTGGTCGGTGGAACATGACATTGCGCGACTACTCTCAAACGACGCGCATCAAGCGAAACGGCACAGGGGTAGACGTGCACGTGGAAGTGGACCATATCGGCGACATGGAGATACATGTGGGCAACCTCGTCCGGGGAAATGGAATACTCGGTACTTACATGCGTAAGATACTTTTAAACACAAACGTCTTTTCAGTAGTTAGACCTGCACCAAACATGCTTCATAATATTGATTGCACTGTAGATATAAGTAGACTCGTCCCATATGCATACAATATAGGTACATAGAAACATGACTGGTCAAAGAGTATTATGGTAATTTTGAGTATTTTACAGAACATAACCTGATTTATGCAGCACCCTTTATGCACTTGCAAGAACGTTACAACTCTTTATACTGAACCATTTATCTATGCTCTCGTGTTGTATTTGCAGAGCGCATGTTGGACCGACTGATCAATGCCACATGGAAGCCAGGCTTCGCAGTCATTAGACCACTAATTAACGACCTCGTCAGCACTGCCTTCACCGACATCTGGAGCCACTCCTTCAAAGATTTTCCCCTCGACAACTTCATAAGAGACTGATATTGTTGTCTTGTTAATATTTAAGTTTTAATTAAGTGTTGAAATTGAATAAGTGCCAGTTTGTGAATACAAACGCTAATATAATAATAGAATAATTCGTCCACCTTATATTAAGGTTTATGTACATATTTTGACATTAAAACGTTTTGACCTTTATCTAGTTCGTTTTTACAGATGTATAATTATATAAATTGTGAACTAGTTAAGCGTCTAATTTGGTGTGGTTGTAGGACAGGGAGTTATTACGGAATAAAAGTCAGAAATATATTACATATCTCAATATTATATTTATTAAAAAATATAACCTAACTATATATATGACTTTATATTTAAATTCAATCAACAAATAACTCGCACGTTCGTCGAAACTGGAATAATCAACCTCAGTCTTTCAACACAAATGAATACAAATCAAACAGGCCTCACACCAACAACAAATGGCGCAAACAAGCGTATCGTTACTCCGAGCGTCCCCGCGCTCCCCCGCGCTCCCCCGCGCTCCCCCGCGTCCCTCCCGCGCTCACACACTATAAATACATATTTAACATTGCACCTTCAATTTGTTACATTAAACCAGATAAAGTATTACACAAAACATGCCGTCGAAAAGTCTCTGTTTCATATAACAACACTGGCTAGTTTGCATCTTGGAGCAAACTTAGACTCGACTGGTTACAACCCGTTCATTGACAAAGTTCACACTAGGCTACCTCGCGGATTTATACAATAACATAAGTACATCTAGAGACAGAAAGTAAGACAGAATACTACCAGTGATATCAGATCAGTATGTACCCCGCATCACGTGTCGAGACAACATTGCAAACAGCGGGCCTACGTCGCCACTCATTGTGAAGTTCCAATTAACTTTAATATTGTCTGTATTGAAATACTACATTAGGACCCTGTGGACCGTCGCAGTGACGTTATTATGTACGGACTAAAATCGTTGTAACAGTTTCGCCCCGCGCCGATAGTTTCATTTCTAACTTACACAAACAATACCAACATTTTGAGATCCGCATCAAACTATCGGCGTAGAGTTGAAGAAGTAATAATGAGTATATCCCAATGAATTGGACTACAAAATACTGACGGCTATTGTGTAAGCGTAACATTATGAGGTTCTCTTAACAAATTACCAGATTGGATTTTTTAAGTCAACCTAAGTATGCAAATATAGTGCCCGGTTTACGCCTTTGAAAATATTAGGTGCAGACAACCAGACTATTTGACCTACTATTAAGTATACTTTCAGTCACATCGTTAACCAGACGCTATACAAACATTACTCAGGGTTCGACTGTATTACTTAAATAACATCAAATAATATTATTGATTAAATGATTTCAGACAAGCGCTACTAAAATAAATAATAATTCCAATAAGTTACAAGGATGCAAGAGTAGAACATAAACCGACACACATTACACAATATACTGCGTGTTTACAATGCAAACGCGTCCGACTATAAAATCATTCGCTAAAAACAAAACATCGATCGATGTTAACAATGGAAGTAGCGTTCCTTAACTAAATTACGAGAAAATTTTGTTAATAATTTGTACTTGTTTTTCTCGTACGTTTGGCCCCAGAATTTGTGTCGTAAATAATTTAAAACAAAATGCCGCCTCCAGCAAGAGGCGGTGCGATGCCGAACAAAAATGTTGCACAGGCAACTAACAACCTTCACGTTGATTGCATGTGTTCCTTAAAAATCGACACTCAGGTACCAATAAAATTAACCACTACCAAACGGTAGTTGATTCCACAGTAAAACGGTATACCAACAAACTTGATAAATTTATACTATTATCGATTTCTACGATGTTTAAGGAACATTGACATGAGGTAACTAAAGTATTTTGCAGTTTTCAATAATTTGTCACTTTACAATAAGGTACTTGACGAGCGCCGCTAAAAGCAAATTCTGTTACAGTGGTATGATTCCAAAAGCGTTCCAACAGACTTTGCTTTGCACGGAAGCATAATAATTAAAACGAAAAATAAAATCCTATCAAACCGAAATAAAACTTAATGATAACGATATTGAAACGAAAAATGTTAAAAATTCATTAGTAGTAAGATTTCATTTCATTCAAAACGTAGCATAACATAGCTAACGTAATTTACTAATTTATGTGAAACAAAAACTCGTATCGCGACTATAAAATCTAACCCACTAGGCAAATAATTTTATAAATAAACATATGAATGATTTAATACTATCAGCGGGTAGTCTGGCGGGACGTAGTCGCATGCGTGTCCACCCGATACGGCGAGAGTTCCGCGCCCTTGTGTCGTGAGCTCGGTTGATGCGAGTAGCGACGCGCGACGTGCTGCTATACTTGTTGATCGAGTACCGTGACACTCATAATCCGCGTTCTCAGTCTAATCTCGTGAATCCATCAAAATATAAATATATACAAATGCCTGGAAGACGCGGGATCTGTTGTCTGTCATTACAAGGGCACGGAATGTAACTAATATAGACAACTAAAATATTAAAACAATGATTTCGGCCCTGCTCATACTATTTGCACTAATATTGCAACCAGGTTCCGCCTGCCTGAGTCCGGCACTCCGCGCCTCCCTCGCTCGACCCACTCACTCATCTTCAAATTAAGTCTAACATTAAAATTATTTTGATATGCACTTATTAATAGGTTTTTTACAATGACATTTGTGCTGTACACTATTCAAAAAGGGCAGAGCGGAGGCGTGCCAACGAGTTCGAGTAATGTACTTACATCACGGTAAGACGGCTATCGCGGCATCGCACTTTGTACTTAAACATTCAAAATTATATTAACCGAAATTATAATGCTGACGTTCGCCGCGCTCCCGCCCTGCCTACCACTATTTACAATGACAACTAAACGAACCCATAATGAAACTTAAATGACAAACTCAGGTATTAACTAAATATTTGGCAAATCAGTATATCGATAACGGAACAATGTGCAATACGCAAACGACAGGCCTAACGTGAACGTATGACGTATGGAACACTAGAGCTAGCTTTACAAGTCAAATCGAAGGCCGCTAAGATATCACCGTTCATTAGTGTATATGTACAAGGCGCCCGCCCGCGCCCTCGAGTTTGAGCGACGTATGTACACGGGCGCTGCGGGCCCGGCTCTACGTGCCTGCGCGGGCGCATACTTCTATGAAAACGTCCAGACATACTATAGAGATCGCATACAAAACTTGGCTTGTGTAATATTTACAAAATTCTATGTCTTAAGGCATTGTATCTGTAGTATGCGCCCTCGTCAGCTACCGACCACAGACATTGGAAACAAGCAGTGGTTGTCGGTATAAACAACACAAGTAAATCAATTAGATCACGTTCAAGGAACATTTTAACTATAAGCGTTCAGTATACTCGTAACGTGGGACTGTAGTTGACGGCGAGATGAAGAAATGAAATTAGCACCATGTTTTCAGATTGGGAGTGGATGAGGTTGCATGTCGTCTACCGTAGATAGCATGTACTACAGTCTAAAACCGTAAAATGTAAGAATTACTAAATAAATACTCGTACTTTTAGATATGCTTTAAAATTAAAACAATATTCTCAGTAACGCGTGGAACCCCAGTAATCTGCTACAACTATCGTATTAGAACAGCGAGCGTCACCTACAGTCCCACAGCACATAACATTAGTTAAACATTCGACAACTACGTCACAAATAATCCAACTAAATAATTTACGTCGAAATTAATTTTATCAACTAAATTAGAGCGCAATGATGGTTTGGTACCACAAATTATTGCATTTACAGAACACTCTCATATATTACGTGTCTACAGTACTTTTACATATAGAACATGGTTAACAACTGTTCACCATAATTCACAATATTTTTAAAGTTATGTAGTCAACAGTATCTGGAAATTATCAACAAATCGACCGAGGCACTTGAAATGCACTGGTTCCCCATAAGTTGTAAGCTAAGTTACGAATGACTCTTGTCAATAAGTAAAACAGACTACTTACGTGGCTATAAGTTATTACTTTCAATATGAGTCACTTGCATCGTTCACACTTTCTCATAATTGCTTGGACTCCAGGCATAATTGAATGTTGTAAGTACAGTTTCTTAGACAAGTCTAAAGCAACACGTAAATATAAAACAACAAATTCAACATGATGACAGTGTATTACCCGTAAATAAAATGGCATCATTATTATAAGTGACGTAACGAAATAAACTTTACAAATATTCATCAAAAACATTAGTAAATGGCAAACACGACCTTTGCGAGCGACTTACGTAACTAAAGCCAACCAGGGCAAGTTTCTGCTAAGGGTACATTTGTGAACTTTATATCGCCTGCACGCTTTCATTAACACTGCACATGTAAATAGAGAGAGTGTTCTGTAACTATTACGACAGTCGTCCCAATTTCACGTCAAATCTTAAGGTAATTGAGAGCGGTTCACACCTTTCCCAACACCTGGAGCAGATGTCACAATACAAGTAACCATATCATTGGATAGACTAAACATTTCCAGTGACACTGAGACGAGTGTAGCTCCCACTGAGTACAGCTGAGTACTATGCGTATGGCGCGCGCCGCGTGGCACGCATGCGCACTGCACTAGAACTCGAAGTCGAAGAGTTCCGCGAGCCCCTCGTCGTGGTCCAGGCAGAACCCGTAGTCCGTCGCAGACATCGGCGGCTCCAGCGCCAGGAACGGCTCCAACTCCAGCGGTTCTGAAACGCCACGGAACACCAGCTTCTTCAGTACACTATTGTTAGTAACGTTCACACTCGACAAGTTTATCAATCGCAAATGCCACAAACTAGATTTTTTTTTAATTTCATAACATACTGACCCAAAGACAGTATATCTACAACATCCTATGGCCAATTTTAAACATTAGATACACAAAAATAAGTTTTAAGTAAGTAGCAAGTCACAACATGCTCTTATTAATGATATTTTCACAATTAGTCATTGCAGCATCAAAAATATTACTTCGATTTACAATCGTTATGTAAAAGTATAGTATATTTTATTTACAAAATTAGTTGAAACACGTCCCCCCACCTCGACAACACCTGCAAAATCTTTACAGACAGACTTACAAAGAGAAAAAGCATTATTGGACTTTGACAGGCGAAGCAGAGGCGAAGGGAAAACTGTACAATAAACTCGTAAAAACCTTCAAGCAAAAACAGCAGAAGCTATTTTTGCTTGACATTTTAAAAATTGTACACCCTGTTTGAATAGTTTAATATGTAATAGTCTCATTCTCATGGAAGAGTTCCAAGATCATTTCATTCAAACTGGGTGTTTGTATCCTCGAAAAACGTCGTTAACGTATGTGGTGTTGAGAGAAGTTATATGATACCGTATCCCAAGGCCAAAAGCTGAATGGTAATTATGGTAGAATGTGAGATGAAGGCGTGAACGACATTTTCCGAAGGTTAGGAACACAGTGCAAACATAGTTAGACATGAGAGCGTTGTTACATTGGCGATGTACGTGGAGTTAGTAGATGAGTTGGCAGTTAGTGGCGAGCGTCCGTGAGCTGAATCCCATGGTGCTACACGTGACACTGCGGCCGCACGGGATGCAGCTCGCGGCCGCCGCCGACCCGCGCCGGCACCGCGCCCGGAGACCCCGCAGAACCGAACATTTACCTTGTAAGCTCTCCTTTGGAGAATGCTCACACCAATGTCAAGGTAATAATGATAGATGAGCCATGTGTATACTATTTACTTTATGAGATTGATTTTAATCAATGTTTGAGTATAAACGCTTAAAATTCCAGTCATTATGATTGTAACAGTGAGCCCGTAGTGAGATGTGAGCATTACCCAAAATAAACATATTTACAATATAAAAACTTAGGGAGGTTTCGTATTTGTGCTTTTTATACAAACACTGATCATTCAAAAATCTGCAATAACGTTATTATTTGCAACAATTTCTTTACACGACACAAAAATCCACAAACGAAACAAGATTTCAATCTTGTGATATTAATTTTACACTTAGTGAAAGTAAAAAGTAATTTAATGTACAAAAATCTTGATTCGTAATTGGATTATTATTTATGTTACCGATATACATTTCTGTTAAATGTTAATTAGCTGTCGTATGTCATATAGATAAATAAAAGGTTGCAAAAAAAATCCTATATTAATACTTTAATGAAAAAGTTGTTAAAGTTATCAGTGGAAACTGTTTTATAATGCTACATTGGTAGAATATAATTTTACCACAAAAGCAATTGAGGTATGTATATATATATCTGTAAGACTTTTGAAAAATAGAAATAGGTATTTTTACTATTTTTAGTTAAAGACATTGCACAACAAAATTCATACAAATAGCATAAATTGAAACATACACATAAGGAAGTAAGGAACATTTCTCCTAGTAAAATTGTACAAAGACAGTTATCATAGTTAGTGAAGCATTTATGATGACATGAGCACTGTGATGAGACAAGCATGCAATGCGAAGGTGTTCACCATGGTATGATACATGACACATACAGCATTATACATGTGTATGGATATATTCGGAAACACTATCGATATCTGACACTTGTTGCATTCAAATATAATTATTTACAAGTAAGTCGATAGTGTCGCCGTACAAAGTTAATCAGTTAAATAAAGAACCAACCTAGTGAATCCCGCTGCCGAATGAATTATATCTAAGATGTACTCGCCGTCCTCACGACCGCGTAGCTAGAACTCTGACTGTGATGTGACTACGACACACAGGTCACAGCCAAAGTACTAGCCACGAGACCGCACCGCCGTTCTCGCATCCCGCTCGCTATAGCGTGACTAGTACCCATGACTTGGTGAATACAACTAAAGGTTAGCTCATGATGACTATGACAATTCAATTAAGACCCATCATGTATTTTATACTTTATTGTACCCAATTCCTGTTCTTATTATAAATATTCATAGGAACTTTACTATGAGATCAGATATGTACATGATAATGAGTAGATTGCGCATCGTACCTGACTCCTGGTCCTCGGTCTGTAGCTGGAAGCGGCCGCCGCCCATTATGGGCGCGAAATCGTCGCTGTCTGCTATTAGTGCGTTACGTAATCGACCTCGTGCGCCCGTGCCTGTTACGACAACAACATTGTTACGAAACAGCTGATAATACGCACAAACATACAATTCGACGTCTACTGTTACGTGAATAATAGAAACTAGAAAGACACTGACTGTCTGGTGTGTTGAGGGTGTCGTGTTGGCTGGAGTGGTCCGAGTGAGGCGTCAGGGACTTGTGCGGCGTCACGTGTGGCGTGGTGTATGGCCCGATGGCCCCCGCGGCGCCCGCGGCCCCCGCGGCCCCCGCGGCGCCCAGCGCGCCCATGGCCCCGAGCGTGGCCAGCGTGGCGTGGGCCCCGAGCGCGCCGCCCAGCGGCAGCGTGGGGTCCGTGACACAGGGCGTGGACACCACCATCGAAGACGAAGACGCCTCACTCATCGGTTCTCGCTTTATTGGTGTTCTGCACACAAATATACAATATTGATTTAAACAGTCTTGAACTGAAAAGGATACGAATACAGAAGGATGTTTGTACAAACTCACGTGAAGTCAGCAGTGATAGAGCTGGTGGGTTTAGACTGCAGTAACGCTATAAGTGGTGCTAATAGTGCCTTGTTGTCTTCCAACAGCGGATCCGCCGGCAATGGGCCTGAGGCTATAACAAATAAAATAAAAATTGTAAATGTTTCCAAGTTTCTTAAATTAAAACAGCCATTTAAACAGTTAGTATTGTACACATTTGTTTGAGTAAACAGCTCTAATCATATCGATATCAAGACTTACATGTAGCAGGCGAAGGCGGACGTTCTTTTGGACAGAGGTAGACTTCAATTTCTCCCGACATGGACTTCAAATGTATCATGTAGCCCTTCTCGTCAGGATGAGGCACCTGTAATTAATTATGTAACTTTGTTACTGGATGAAGTAAAGTAACTATCATATTACTATATTTGAGATTTGATTTGGTAAGTAGTCAGGGAAATAAAAGTGGCGTAGTAGTGTTAACTAACGCTGAGGCGAGTGTCAGGTGGCGCCTTGATGGGTATGACGGTCTGGTTGCGGAAGTCCCGTATGGAGCGCAGGTCGGCGTAGGTGATGTATGCGCGCGCGCCGTGGTGCGCCGACAGCTCGCTCAGCGCCTGCTCGGCCACGGCCACGGCGCGCTCCACGCGGGCCTGCCGCGCCGAC